CCCGCTTCGGTTGTACCCCCGCACCTAGACCTAGTCCCCAGATTCCTGCCTATCCTGATCGTGGTGTGCCTTGGGCTACCCGACCCTCAGACCCTGTCCGTTACACTTTCTGTGCCTCAGACCTCAAAGTCTTAAGTACTGTTTGAGGAACCAAATTTAATACATATGCTAGACACTATATCTGACCATTCTCCTGAGACCACTTCATTATTTCTAGCTCTAAATCCAAGAACATTCTATTAAGAACCATTGTATTATTAGCTGTAATGCAATTAATTACCCCCCTAATACCATATATATTCAATACATTTACTAGGATATCAGTCATATTGCCTGCTGTATGAGAGCCTTTCAGGTACTCAAATCTAATTAATGTATTGAACTCCTCATATCAGATATTTATCCAGTAGGCAGTAACTGCCAGAAAGAGAACTTTATTAGATGATGTCTATGCTTCAATTGTGAGGTTGATTTTTGCACTAGCAGAAATATGGCTCTGAGGTCATACTTGGAGATTTTGAAAAAGTTCCTAGTATAAAAGGATTTGAATATTTCTTTTTACAATCTTTTGAGAGATTGTAGTAGTACTACCATTACAGTAGGTAATTAGAGATTGAAAGGCATTGCTCCCCACCAGCCTAAAGCTAGAATTGGTTTCAATTACCATTATATCCATTAATTTTCTATACTCTTCAATATTAAATAACTGGCCAGGTACTTATGCACCTCTGATATCTTTTACTAGTATAAAGAGACTAATGTCTGCTCACATATACAGAGTTGTTGTTACTAAGTGACAGCTGATAGCAGCCTTGTAGTCACTTTCACGAGAGGGGAGTTGGCTATGCTGAGTTCTAAGATGTACCAGGAAAGTTGATGTAGTTATGTACCTTGCTAGTACATAAGGTTCCTAACTATGATAACAGTAACAACAGTAGACCATATACTGTCTAGAGCCATCATCTATGGTCTCTCAAATAATCAAACACTTCTCATATAGGTAGCTATTGAATGATAGTTCTTCCTTTCTGCTAATAGTTCATATATTAAACAATACTTCTATTTTCAATTATACATGTTACTAATAAAGTTCAATATAGTTCAATAATAGTGATTGATACCCCATTGCCCACTTAGGGTATCATGGAAATCTGTAAGTGAGAGAGACTCTTGTGCACTATTCTGTTTACTAGCAGAGTCGGAAATTGTTTCTGCAATATGCCATAGAGCTGAAGAGGATGGAATTGAGAACATTTTGACTACTAGGAAGAAGCAAGAAAAGAAAAGTAGTCAATTACTAAGGGAAAGCTGCTTTGAAAATTTATGGCAAAATATGTGGGATAAAGGCTACCTTATCCTCTGCTCATTTGTGATATCACCTGATTACTAAGGAATCTATATATAGCAGAGTGATCGATCATGATTGAGTTTAGTCGAACATAGTCGACTATGATCGACTATGATCGATTAAACTCCTGATCGACTAAATCGAGCAGAACATCAGGGCCCTGCTCAAGCATGATCTGATCACAGGACCTCTATGATCGAGGATGATCAAGCATAATCTGCTCGAGCAAAACTCGATCATAATCTGATCTTGGCCATCACTATGGGTGGCTGCGTTGGTGTAGTTGGGTGAGCGAGAGTGTTGCGACGACTCACTCACGTGCCTCGTCTTGCCTATCGTGTACGAGTGAGAGCGTGTGTATTATACTATACAGACACATGTAATACAATGTTACTCCGGAGGATATAATCTGAGTCTGTATGGTGGATAGAATGAGCGAAAGGCCATGGGGGGACTGACGTGGTATTGTGGTCGCAGGACTTGCTTGCTTGAATCTATTTTATTGTTAAACATGATATAGAAGAGTGACACCAAGTAATATGCCAATTAAGAATACAGAGAGCTTGTTTTTCTCGTGGAAAACAAAAAAGGGAAAAACTGAGAATTGAACAATCAAGCAGGCTGTTTTCCTTTGCCTTTTCCTTCGACTGGTCCCTCCTCTTCGTCTTCCTCGGCGATGTCACCCATCTCCTCATCGCTGCTAAGGAATTCATCGTCTTCATCCCAGCCCGAGAACCTCATCTCCTTGGCTTCCTTCTTCGCAGGAGGAGCGGCGCTACTCCCTTCACCGACAGCATTATCAACGCAACCGTCATCCACCTCCGCGTCACTTCCACTCCCGGAGCTTTCCCCTTCCCCTCCTCCCTCCTCATCCAATCCCCCCATCTCCAACCCCTTCATAACCTTCTCCACCGCCTCCCTAGTCCGAACCCTCTCCTCCTCTGTACTCTCCAGCCACTCCAAATCATCGAACCTCGGCGCATTTGCACCGCCATTCCTCCCTCCCCTCTCTGCCTCCTCGACGATCTTCCTCCACCTCTCCTTCCTAGCCTCCCGCTCCTTCTTCTCCATCTCGGGCCTGATCTCCAAATACGCTGCTAGCGCCTTCGCCTCTTTGACAGTACGCATTCTACGTCCGTCAAGATTCCTACAAGAGTCGTTGTTTTCCTGCTGGCCGCGCTTTTTCCGACTTGACATGCGGCCGCCCGCGGCGCGAAGTTGAGAGCCGAAACCTCCCTTTCCGCCGCATAGGGGGGGGTGCAGGCGGAGGGTTAGGAATGATGATGTTGTTAAAGTGGAGAGGGTGGCTGAGGGGGGGTGGTAGTGAGATGAGGTTGGAGTTAGGAGGAGACGGGAATGTAGGAGAGCTTGGGGGAGGAGAGGACGGAGACGGGGGAGGATGGAAGAGACTGGAGTGGAGGCAGGGAGGGGGAGGTTGTAGGTCGGGAGACCCGGGAAAGTGGTTATTATGGCGTTGACGAACGGCATTTCAGGTTGGGACTCCATATTTGCACGTTTTCTCGGTGTTTGTTGTTGAGAAGTGCTTTGCGAGGTCGCTGTGGTTGTGTGGGGATGTGAGGTGTTGCGCGCGATGAACACAAGTGAAGAGGTGTTGTCTCCCTTGGAGACGCAGCCTCAATAGCACTGTTGGTGGTAAATGTCTTGGCGCCAACACCAAACCAGCCCCCATCATAAACCCTCACTCAATTACTAGTAAGCATCCACGGTCCATCAATACTGGTATCATACTCCATGCCTCGGGCTCCCAGCCCCCTCCCTCAAAACAATGAGACCCCCAATCTTCTTCAGCCAAAAATCTCAATCCCTCAGATTAACCCTCAGAGTACTGCCTTCTTCACCACCTCCTCGTATAATAGTAATTACTCCGTCGCACATAAAGCTAGCAGTATCAGCGCCGCCGCAACATAATGCTGCGAATGAAGCTGTGGTAAAGTTTATTTGCGAGGTTCGTTTATGTTGATCTCGGCACGGTTTTCAGGGGTTGCTGATGCAGTAGCGAGAGAGAGAGTAGTTATTAGGCTACCCCAAGACCGACGGACGAATCACTATGGGGGAGAAGACGCGGGGAAAGGTTTTAGAGATTAGGGGCGTGGGCATGGAAGGGGGTTTGGTAGAACGTGTACGGGAGAAGCTAATGGGATCCGTTAAAGGTTGAGAAGTCTATTTCACGAAGGCTATCACAGTAACTCAAGCGATGGGGTTTTGGAATGCATTTTTATGCGAGGAATAACTGCCGCTCAACTCCAAGCACGCCCTAGCTTTCATTACGGATAAACCACTACTTCATGTATCTAGAACCTTAGATCTACCAGTACAGTACAGACAGACAGACAGACAGACAGCCCCCCACCATAGCCACGCAAATACCTGCATGGAGACAATTTTGCCAATCTAGATCATTCACAAAATCCGTGGAAAAGGTATCACTGTTACTCCTAACGCAACCGCCATTCAACCATGATACTAAAAACCTAACAATCATTAAAGCCCAATCCATAAAGCATTTGCTGTGAAGAGATCACTCTGGCCAAATGTACTTTATCACCAGAAAAATAAGAGGAGAAAAAGCCAAAAAAGGTTTTACAGCAGAAAAAGAAAACCGAAACAAGGAAATTCATGTCGTGCAATTCATCAATGATTTAGTAGGAAGGGATAACGGGGAAAAGGACTCAACACCCCATGCAAAGAAAACATGAAAAACACCCGTTGCAAGAATAACACAAACACCCAAATTTTTTGATCCGGCAATTTGGCAATAAGCAACTCATACAAACGCTAACTTTACAACGCCTTCCCCGGCGTACCCCCGCTGACAACCCGGCCACTAACCTTTCTAACACCGCCTGCAGCAACTGCTCGTCTGGGCGAGCTCCTAACCTTGGTTCCTATACCACTCCCGCTTCGCTCTCGCCCGGTGGCCTTGTCCGCACTGGGTGGTGTAACGGTGTGGCTCACCGTTGTTGTTGTGGTGGTTGTGTATGAGACGCTTCTCTTACCAGCTGGACTTCGGGATGTGGTCCGGCGGTGCAAACGTAGAAGGTACTCTTCCTCGCTCATTGCCCCTTCAACAACTCCTTCAGGCACTTCAGTGCCTGCTGCTGCTGCTTCAATCATCTTGGCCGACGACTTCTTTCGTCGGATTGGAGATGCATTGACATCAACATTTTCATCGTCCTGATGGATTTCAATCAACTCCTTGTCCTGCTGAGAGCTAGTTGTCCTGCGGCTACCAGTGTTCGGGGGATATCTCGAGCTTGCCTTTCGAGGCTGGCCAGGTGTGGGTGCGGGTAAGGCACCAGACGTTGTCTCATTACCGTCCATCTCTCCTAGGATACTGCGTCTTGTGTGTTGCGAAGGCGTCCCCGATACCACCCTTTTGCCCTTGGTTGGCGTCTTGAGCGAGATAGATTGTGATATAGCCTTCTCCAGTGCGGGAGCCATGATAGTATCCTCGAACCACCACTGTCTAAACTCGTCTTGGTTGAGATGCAACCAATGCTGTTGGGGTCCCACAACCATTCCCGGTCTCATGAAACGCATGAAAGCAATAACCTCATTGGCGGTGAATCCATATCGGTATACTAGGTATGCACCAATCAAACATCCTGTTCTTCCAAGCCCAGCCTTACAGTGAACCGCAATATTCTTTCCCTGGGCTATAGTTTGATGAGCGAGGTTGATAAATTTTCGGACAAGATTGAGAGGTGGGCAAGTTCCGTCATCAAATATCATGTCAATATGCGTTATCCCAAGCGCGGTGAAATATTCGGCGGGGTAGAGGTGGGAATTCAATCGGACTACCAGGCCGATATCACGAGTGTGAAAATGTTCCAAGACGTTTCGAAATGGAACAGGCAAGCCAGAGGCGAGGATCTCCTCTTGATTCGTCGGGAGCTGAGGCTGCGGCCGATTCGGCGGGGGGAGTGTGAACTGTGGTGAGGCAAAGGCAAGGAAATTAGGGGAGATCCAATTAAAGTCTCCCATGTCCACCCGCTCAAACTTTTCATACCTGTTCCCATGTTATTAGCTCGTGACCTTTCATTCCCCAAACAGTAAGATGGGCATACTCATCCAGCCCAAACTCTCTCAAATTTACAATGCCCTTCTCCTTGGCTTTCCAAACACCGTACACCACATCCTGCACGTTCAACACGAAGTCGGCTTGTGAGTAGCCAGCATCACGAAAGGGCATAAGCGGAGGATCACACTGAGCCAACGGGGACAATGCCAAATGAGGTGGCCACGACTGCACAAGCACCTATAGAAAACAATCAATACCAACGAATGAGGCGAGGGAGAAGGAAAAAAGGTAAAATTTACCATGTAGCAAGCCAGCAAACAACCGGCATTTGCTCTACTTCTTCCATCGGGTCTGCTCCAGAATACGACAATCCTCCCCTCATTTACCGGATCGCCGAGAATATCATGAAGTGTCACGGCAAATCTGTACAAGTGTCCGATGTGGAGAGGGCCAAAGTCATGGTGGAAAGCATTATACAGCAATGAATCATCAACGGTGAAGTAAACAACCTTCTTGGAGGAGGGGCTGATGCCGAGGTTCTTGCTCTTCTTGGAAGGCGACCTGGCAGAATTGTGCGCATTCGCCTGGGAAGTGATCTTGTAAGGATCCGGAATGGCTGGTGGTGGAAATGGCGTGCTACCGGTTGGCGGGGAAGTGTACGATGCAAGATAGAGGCGATCTAGAAAAGTCAGTCAAGGTTCCCCCGACAATCAACAACAAAACGTATTCTCTCACCCCCAATGTACTCTATAACATTTCCGTAGATGGTCTGGTTGGCGCTGGGGGTCATTGTGACTGATCTTTTTCCTTCTTGCAGTGTCAAACGCTACACCGTAGGACTCTAATCGTAGCTGGTCAAGAAGCTGAGCAATTTTCCTGTCGTCTTCCTTTCCGAAATTGGATCGAACCCTCCGAGCCAAAGCTATAAACCTTTACAGAGAGCGGAGAAAGCTGCAGCGGGGGAGGAGTGTGAATAGAATACAGGAAGGGTATGCTACAGCTTCTTTGGACGAAAAGCAGCAGCAGCAGGATAGCTGCGTACTCGACGGGAAGGGTAAGCGGTGAAGGCGTTTTCACAGGAAGGGGGAGAGCAAGGGGGAAGGGAAAAAATTGGAATAAAAGGCGACGATGCTGGAGTTTTAGAGGGGAGGGGGGGGGGTGGAGAGGGTATGAAGAAGGGAACTCTTGACTGCTGGGGGGAGCCTCCAAGCCATTTTAGCGGTGGTGAGCCAGCGTTGTGTTTGTTTTGTTGCGGGAGCTTGGCGGCTTAATCGGGTAATTTTTGTAGGTCACATAGGGAATTTTGTCAACAAGACATTGTTGCCACAGCAACTGTCGGGGCATGTAGCAGAAAAGTCCGACCAGCTTGTCGGGTGGCTGCCCCACGCGAGCGAGAGGCTGGCTGGGCTATCATACCGCTGAGAGATCTTGATCTAGCCAACAGGACGAGCCAGAAGAAACTCCCTCATCTCGTTGTCCCGCACAACTGACCACATCTCAGTGACCCAGTTTTGATCCATTCTATGGTCCCAGATACCGGCATACACATACTCGAGCACACAACTGAAACGTCAAAACAGCCGGCGGAAATGGCCACCGCTACCATCGCTGCTCCTCCCACAGACCCCGAGTATCCTCATTCGCTGTCAGTTCGGCTTCCTCCCGTCCATCCCCACCGTTTGCCCCACTGACATCCCCCGCCGCGTTGTTTGTAGCACCATATCCCTGCCCCTCCCTTCTCATCATCTCGCAGATACAATTCAACGGGCCCTCAACGTAGACCAGGAGATATCTCCATTGGTCCAGAGAACCTACACCGCTGCACCTGATTCCCCGATCCTGCGAATCCACTACAAAGCGACGACCGCACGAATGCTCCGGGTAGCCACAAATGGCATGTTTGAAAGTCTAGGAACCGTACTCAGGGTGTGCGAGGAGCTGGATGTGGACGTTCTAGAGAGGGAACTGGGAGAATAAAAAATAACAGGACTTTCTATTCTAGTATTGTATCTGCAAGCACACAAGGCTCGTTCGAAACTATACCTGCATTTAGGATGTGCAGTACCGTAGACGTTGACCCTACCCGCGGTAAAACATTTCCGAAGAGTAAGCACCATGATACAATCCATCGGGAAAATAAAATAAAAAACCCCCCTGCCACGAAAACTCAGCGTCTAGAACTGCCCATTTAGCGTCCGAAGGCGAGACAATGATAATGTCTGCTTTGCTGTTCCCCCCCGAACAATTTTAACACAACAACAAACAACCAAAAATAGGCCTCCTCTCTCCGCAAGTGCAACTCAGCGAGATGCCCACGCAGGTACGGTGCACAAAGCACTCTGTGTGTGCCATTGCAGGGTTCCCTGTTTCCCAAAATACTGGTACAAGTACAGTAGCTGCTGCAGGGGTTAATCGCTTAGTGGTAATGTGATTCGAGTGATTGAGTAGGCTATTATTGTGACTTGGAAGCTCTTGGGGGGGGCAGGAGGGAGAGAAAGGTTGATAAAGGATCGTTCTTCGCGTCTTGTACCTTTCTCAGGCTTTTATGATACTTGTAATATGATGCAAAAACTAAAGTGGCTCTCGTTCCTCAAGAGTTTCTAAAGGTTCCGATCGTTTCTATCATAGTCTCCTGGTTCGGGTGCCTAGCTTACCCGGCTGTGTACAGTACTAGTAAGCGGTTCGCCTCACAAGGGTGAATTCTGGGAGGGGACGTGCGGGGTCAGGTTAAATTTATTGCTTGGGAGCGTTGGCACTTGAACTCACTTTGGATAGGGGGTCTCGCTTCGCTATCTGGGAGCTTGGAGATGATGAGGATCGGGTCATGGAGCGGCCCCTAGCACAGCGCCCGGAGTTTATCTAATCGTCGAGTGATGAGCAATGATTCCGGATACCGGCACTTGGAGGCTTTTAAATTGACTACCGTATCCTATCATACAACTGATGCTGTTAGAGAGCCCCCTTTCTAGTGCTTGTATCCCCCATTACCAAAGACTTCACCGGCTTACCGTACCTTATCTCATTCTCCGACCCACATCATAACTCTCCTCCCCAGCTCCTAATTATCCTCACTCACCATGTTCCCCTCTGCTCCTGGTAACCCGCCTGAATTTCCGCCCAAGAGACTACGGTAGCTCGGAGTCTAGTTCCCGCTAAACCCCTTCCGCTTGTCTCTGCTGCCCACAATTCTTCATGCGAAAACTAAATTTATTTCTTCTCGTGCGATATCCATAGCCACCCGCCGAATGTATAAGGATCCACCTAGCCGTGTGAAATTTTCCGGAAATGGTTTTGATAATTCTCCGGTTAGGAGCCCATCGCCCCTCCAGGATTAGGGGAGAGTGAAGCTGATGGGTTCATGCATTTTTACAGCCTCCTAGCGCGTCACGGGGAACAGCTAGCGTCTGTGGTGGACTGGGATTTGAGGGAGGAATGGATTGAGGGTCCATGCCGGGACATGTTTGTTTAGGGCAATGCGTTGAATGGGGAGAGTCCGTTCGCAAAGTTGCTCAATGTGCACCATGCACTGATTCGATCTGCTCTCCATAGCGAAGATGGCGTTTACAACCATCAGGCAAGAAGCATGACGTTTCAGGAATTGTGAGAGCATGGCGGAATAGCCTCCAATCCTTTGAGGGCTTTGGCCACTTCCGGGAGGAGTTCGCCGGGAAGGATTCTGAGATGAGTGGAGACTTTCTGATCATATTCTTCCGAGGTTTAGTGAAATCGCGGCGTGACTTGGGGCTTCTGGAAGTGCCCACCTCTTCGACAGCACTCGGGGAGATATCAATCTGTCCGGTCTGGCATACTATGCTTATGGATGGCGCTTACATAACTTACGAAATTTAAATATCATTGTGGGTTGGGAACTTGAGCGGGGTCCTGACGGAAGCCCTACCAGATGGATCGCCGGTTTATTTCCCGGAGATTCTCTAGAGGTGGATAGTATAGAGCCGGGCGCCAGATTAGGGTTAGGCCCCTCTAGAGCTCCATCGGGTAATACGGTAGTCTACTCCGATGGTGTCTATATAATGTATCCAACTTAGTTACGTTATCAGCAGCGAAAAAATTATGCAATAAGGTATAATAGATAACCCAAAAGTAGCCATAAATCAAGCACTTGTGCTCTATTATTACTCTGGAACTTTAATTTTTTTCCATCACAAATCATGCATATAACGCTGGTATGATAATAATATCTCAAATTTTGGGATCTTATGGAGTCTCGTTTAGCATAGTTGTGTGCGTTGGGGGGGGGGGGGGGTTGTAGAAGATTAGGTTAACTGTTTTAATACAAGGATACCGTATACTGTAGTGTTCTGTCACCTGGCGAACCCCACTCAACTCATGACCCTTCTCCTGCACGTCCATTAGAGTTGGAACACTGGTAACATGATGCATGAAAAACAGGCGTTCTATCATACCCTGTTAAGATGCCCTCATCTAAGCCTAAGAAGAAACCGAAAATCGTATGATATCGTTCGAGCGAATTTTGAATTAACCATTCCTCAAAAACCCCCCTTTCCACTTGGGAGTGCTGTATAAAGTTAGTTCAGCGATTTCAAATATTAACACCTTGGACCAAAGGCACTCTGGGACCCCCCACTAAAACAAGCGAATAATACAAATTGCTGGATAGGGTAATTACTGTTAATGTAATCAACCGGTACAAATCGGTACTGTACAAGTACGCGTACAAGTACACAATCGGTCCTACCAAATAAACTTATCGAAAATAGTAACTATGTTTCGAATGTGAACAAATCTTTAGCCTGTGTGTTCTGGAGGCGAGTATCTCGAGAATCCTGGAAAAAAATGGGAGTGCTGGATAAACGTGGTAGGAATTTGCTGTGATCGGGCATGAGGTTCTTGGCAAAGAAATGTGCCAGTACCGTGTGTTATGGTACCTTAGCATGATTAATGACCGACTCAAGACTTGTCACTGTTTTTCAAAGTAGTACCGGTATAGTAATATACTAACTGAATAACTGAATAACTGAATACACGGCGGAAACCCATATCACCGAATTCCTATACTACTAGCATAAATCTAATAAGCAAGCAGGAAACATTCCCTTTCCCCCAGTTAGGATGTGATGAGGGGTTCCTTATTCCCGAGTAATCATGCTTGCTAACATTTCTCCGCCAAGGGCTTTATTATCTCCCCCACAGTACGCGTACTGTACGGTACATGCCCCAAGTTGAAACTCCCAGGCAACCACCATAAAATATACAAATTAAATTGGGCCGATATCCCATCTTATTCAAAGCTTCAACGGTGATGCGGGCCAGTGACAAGCTTGGACTAGGTCCAGGCTCTGGGGATGGCTCCGGAAGAAAATATGGCGTGGCTGATATCATAATCCCAAATTTTCTAGGATGTAGTCGCAGGAAGGCGGCGATTTACCAGCTGTAGATTAGGAAGTGTCAGTCTTCGTCTCCGTTACTCTGGATTTACCTACTTGCACCATGGAAACTCGTTAAATCCACTTTTCCTGGAAGCCATAGATCCCTGCGATCAAGCACAAAACCCCCAGAGACAGCACTTTCCAGGCGGGGCACGGGTGGTGCGAGTTGGGCTTGGTGGATCTAACGAGTCTTTTTTTGCGGTATGATGCTTAGGCTCCTTATTCAGGTATTATCAATTGGCAACCGTGGGGCAGTTGGGCCTCGGGCGTCATGTGTTTAAGGGCGGCACCGAGGGTCCCTTGTTCCTCAGCGGCCGGTCATTTCCACACTGACGTCCTCTTTATCCAATATGGGGCAGGAGGTGCGCAAACAGGGCGAATGGAAATGGCTTAGTTATTACTCCTTTGCGTAGTGTTGCAATCTGCTCCACCGGTTGCTTCCCCGGGGGGGATGGCACTAAGCCATCCCACCGCACTTCCAGTTGTCACTTCTCATTCGTGGTGAAAGTGTCTGCCGGTATACTCGTACGGTACAAGTACTACTTGAACGATAAGCCTGTGTGAGCGGGACGTTGCCGTTTGGACAATGGTGGCGCAGCACTGATAGCCGGAATGCGCGGTGAAACTGAATGCTACTGATTTATGCGGATCCCGGTCAGCCCCAACTGGTGAATTGCGTTAATATACGGACATAGGGTGGTAGGGATAAGCTTACCAGCCGTCAGTAGGCAATTGCCGCCGGGTTCCCGCCCACTACTCGAGTACCATTCTGAGACACTTCTCTGTGATTTAGTGGCGACGCTGGAGATCCTGGGTTTACAGTAGGATACCGTAATGGAGAGAAAAAAGAATTCAAAAGACCTTACCAGGATAGGTGTTGTTGCTCCAGCGTCCTATCGTTGGGTTCAATTATTCTAGTTCTTGGGGCAGGTGGCGGGCTGAGCTTAACCACTGTATTGTATCGGTACCGGTATTGCATTTTACGGAGGATACAGTACGATAGGTGGGTGACATGGCATGAATTGTCTTCTTCTTGGGCCACGGCCGGTAGCAGCCGGTTAACCTTTCGAGGCGTTTCAATGGTGCATTTGGGCCTATCGGGAGCATTCCACCGGTATGTTTCCGCAATCTCCCATAGACGGAAAGAAAAAAAAAGCGATGGCGCGGAATGGCACAAGTACGGCTTGATTGGGAGACAGAGATGACATAGAATAAGTCAGTCCGGCCGGCTCACGAGTCCGGGACTGGGGCGACCAAACTCCCGCGCTGCATTCGGTTGTAGTTACTCGAGCACGAGCACAGTACCGTATCGTACAAGCACCTGAGCGACCTGATCAACCGAATGAGCTTATTTACGCCCCACGCGCACTCCTTCTGGGAAAATCCGTGCACGAGCAATTAATCCAGAGACCGGGGCAAGGGTAGCGAACAGCCGGGGACATACAGAATAACGGTAGGGCATTATCATGCCCACTCTTTGCCCCCCCTCTCCGATCTTCCTCTAGCATTTCGACCGCCGCTCCCGAGTTTCCCCCACGACAATCTCATACCGTGCACAGGTACCTTGCTTCCCCCCGCCCGAAGGTGCAATCTCGATGGGACGAGCCTGAATCAGAGTGGACAGGCCTTTAGGAAACAAGGAGAAGCGTCACGTGTCTGATACCGCAATTGGTGCGGCAACAAAATGGAGAATCCTATGGAGGTTGATCGGGATTATGAGGGCGATGATTTTGACTACGCCAGTGACACTACTTCATTGAAGTCTAGTGCTCTGTCGTACGTTTATGAGAACGGGAGACGGTATCATGGATGGCGCCAAGTCCTTCACCTTCCCCCAGTTATGACTAGAGGGATGTAGAAATTGACTTGTTCCTGTGATGAAGGGTCGATATGCTGTACCAAACGACGAAGACGAACAAAACCGGATGGACCTCCAACATCACATCTGTCTATTAGCCCTGGGTGGCAAGCTTCATGCGGCGCCAATCGATGATCCGAAGAGAATTTTAGATCTCGGAACGGGAACAGGGATTTGGGCGATAGATGCCGCGGAGTACAACCCCGTTCCCCATCTTTTCCCATGACGCAAGCAATAAATTTAACATATCATACCGGTATCGCAGCACCTACCCACAAGCGCGCGTTATCGGTACGGACTTGTCACCAATTCAACCCTCACTCGTACCACCGAATCTCTATTTCGAAGTCGACGATATCGAAGAAACATGGGAATTTGCCGGTAACACATTCTCCTATATTCACATCCGCCAACTTACCGGCTTCATAAAGGACTGGCCCCGCTTATACGCACAGGCGCTTCGCTGCTTGAGGCCTGGGGGATACCTGGAGATACAGGACATTATTGAACCCTTTTCCTGCGATGATGGATCACTGCCCGAGGACCATCATCTGAAAAAGTGGCTGGAGTATTGGATTCAAGCGGCGAGAGTGGGCGGCTATCCGATGCCCGGGGCGAGTCATGAGGAAGCCATGGGAGTAGCAGGGTTCGAGGCGGTGGACAGCCAGCGTGTGAAATTACCTTGTGGCCCCTGGCCAAAGGACCCGGTGGCGAAAGAGCTAGGAATATACTATCGCCAACATGTTATTGATGGCGGGGAGAGCATCACGATAGGAATGTTCACGAGATACCTGGGATGGACAAAGGAGCAGGTATACGACTTTTTGAACGAGGGATTACGCCACGTGCAGAATCCAAAGTACCACACGTACGCATCATACTACTGTGTCTGGGCGAGGAAACCGTTGGTTGGCAGCGACACGGCGTCCGCGATATCTGATGGTGTGGGGTCGATAAGACGACAGCCTCGGGCTCTGAGGCGCAACGACGATGAGGATGAGGACCCAGGCGATGATGATGAAGATCTGAGTGATGATGATGATGATGATTATGATGGTGGTGGTGGTGGTGGTGATGATAATGATGGTCACGGCAGTTATGATGGCGAACGTGGTGACACGCCTTTTTAAGGCTCAACATCTGTAGTCTAGCCATTCCTCCCTCCATCGTAAGATGCATTTCGTGTTGCATCGCCCTCTCTCCTGTCCCCTTCATCTTTCTACCGTATCGATAGTCTGCGTGCCGTTGGCTATGCATTTTAACCCGGGTCGCGGATATACACCCTTCATTCGTCTAGATAGTTCTTTCCTTTTGCAAATAAACAGGCCGTTGCCCCTGAGCTTTCTTCCCTGCCCGTGGGAGTTCTCAACAAATCACAAAGTTCGACTGATTCCGGTGCAGCTTAGCATGCCTAGCTACGGATTTGGCGGTGTCAGAAGGACCAAGGGATACCGTATGGATGGAATGCTCGTAGAGTGCCGTGTAGTACAGTACCGCAAGGACTACCGGCATGTGTTAGGTCCGGGCCAGTAGAAGATCCTACTGCTTGGTGTTTCGCCGACTGTGATTGGCTAGCGCTGTTGTATCAAACTGTATGATACCGTACTTAATTTTGTAGAAGCTTGATTGGGGTACTTACTGTATTTGGTACAGCATCGGTTCTTTGAAAAGTATCATAACTAGCTTGGATGTTCCTCTCAGTGTTGTGCTGTGCTGTATTATACTGTACGGCAGGTTATGTGTTCTATTCCGGCCATTAATGAAGATATATATATATATTCATTTGATGGCGACGTCTAGTCTCTGTGTTTTGCGCTTGCTTTCGTTATCGGCGGACCTATCGAAAATGATGGATCCGTGCGGCACACCGAATGATTATTTATGATGTAAGCGGGTATTTCCCCTCCCCCCCCCCTCCTCATGATAATTTATCCAGATACCTATCATGTACCGGAATGATACCGGAGAATTCCTCAACCAAACCTTCAGCTGTGACACTTTCCAGTATGATATATACGGTACTTGTATCAGATATCTACCAAAGGAAGCATATCTAAAAGAAAACACTGATCATCTGATTGTATAGATCTAATCTAGCATGGAGACAACATCTGATTATGGTTTGTGCACTCCAATACCTGCATGAGGATGAGGAAAAAAAATATAATTATTCCTTTTACTCACAGTGGATCCCAGACCATCAGGTATCCTACAGGACTACATTTATACATACCTGACTGACTCAATCAATAGATCTCAGGGTTTCTTATATGGTATAGTAGATTCAGGTTACCATAGCTAACATTCAACGTATTTGACCTGGTGTTGGGACACTCACTAGTTATGGGACACCAAATTAAATGTGACTACTTGATTGAAAAACTGTTGTAACTTAAACAATACTACATCATTTACACTACAAATTGGTATCCATAGAGCCAGTTTCCATCCCAATCACTTCTATCAAATCTATCTCGATTGAACTAATGGAGCTATCTCTATGAGTTAATTTATCCTAAGAGTGATAATTTATGATTGACTTACAAGTGCAAGGTTTTTGAAATGAGAAAAAATTCTAAAATTATTCTACTTCGTGGGATGGGTAGAGGTGGTTCTGGGGCGCAATGGGCGAGTGGTAGCAGGTAGATTGGACTTCTGTTGGAGTCAAGTTGTTAGATTTGCTGAAAGTGAAAATTAACTGATAGGAAAACTTACATTATGAGTGGCTTGATATGATTGATTCTCAACTATTTCTTCATCACTGTTGCTCTCAGAGTCCTCATCATCCGAGCTAGGTGTGATAGCCTCTTCATCATGCCAGTGGTTCAGGTATGCCTTGCTTCTTTGTCTCATCTTGGATTGTGTCTTTCTCCTAACTAGAGCTTTGGTCTCCTTACGCTTTGCTGCAGCTTCAGCCTTTTTTTTATCAAGTTCTATACGCTTGTAATATAACTTAGCCAAGTTCTTGGAGCTAAGTAGAAGTCCCTCACGTAGTTGCCTTCGATCAGCTTTAGCTGGCTTTGCTAGTTGTCGGACTTTTGCAACCTCTTCCTCAGCAATAACCTTTGCAGCATTGAGACTTCTGGCTTCTTTGATACACTGGGTTAAGAGGTCCTTGAGAGCTCTATTGGCAGGAGTTTCCTCTATTTGCTGATTACTATGTTCAATACGATCAAGCTCAGGGGCTCCAATGACTCTTCCAGCTGATAGACGAAAACCAGGGCATCGGGTGGCTAATGGAGTCTTTGGGACCATATTTGCCTGCAAGATAAGATCTCTTAAAATGCGATTTTTGTTGAAAGGGATCAGCCCACAGGCACGCCAGGCTGACTTGATCGTTTCTGGCAAAAAGGTCTTTTGTCTTGCTCTCTGAAGCATTGGAAAGATGTCCCCCTTCTTAATTGTACCATATGGACCTTGCTGATGTACATGATCTTCAAGCTCTTGCTTATAATAGGTCGTAAGGGGACTGAAGATACCAACATCCAGAGGTTGGAGAATGTGAGTAGAATGGGAGGAAAGACAAAGAAGGTGAATGTTGTGGTCGATAGCATACTTGATGAACTCATAGTTCTCCACATGTATTGAATGTTCATCCAAAACCAGAATACGATGCTGGTTAATCCCAGCCAGAGAATGGGTTTGTGGTTCAAATACTTCCTGAAACCATTAAAAGGTGATATCACTGTTGGTGTAACCTTTGCGGGAGGTGGCAAAGAAAGCATCTTCCTTCTCTTCAATCTCAATATTCGTGTGGTGTCCCATCAAGTGAGCATTTGCCTTAAAGATAATGAGAGGAGGCAAGACTTTAGCTCCACCCGATATTGCTTCAACAACTGTAACCCAATCATGACTACCATCCTGGATGATGTTCGGATTTCGACTTGAGGCACGGCAAATCATAGTTCCTGCTCCTCCTAATCCAATAGCGAATCCCTTCTCGTCAGTATTCCAAGTATCCTCATCCTTGACATGAAACTTGCATTGAATGTGATAAAAGCGATCAGGGGGCATTTTAAAGGAGTCCAAGTCTGTGGCCAGAGCCCTCTCCCTATCCAAACACCGTCCTACTTTAGAATCCAAATCTGGATGATGACTCAAGAAGCGGCTCAACCAATGTTCACCAACCTGGTCACTCAAATTCCGTGCACGAAGAAGACTCTGAACTATTTGATAGACATGTTTGCGGCGAGTTGAGAATCCGTAGTCATCCCACTTCTTAATCCATGTACTTAATGCTTCCTCCTCAGGGTTGGTGAGAAGCTGCTGCGATTCGTGAGCTGTCTTGGCTGGTGTTGAATGTTGTGAGATTCGATTATGCAATGTAGATTTCGGTATGTCAAACATGAGGGACAATTGGCGTAGGGAAAGGTTGGGATCAGCCTCATATGCCTTCAAGGCATCTTGAAGACGTATCTCCTTCATATCCTGAGGTGAAGGCATTGGTGAATGTAGGGTGTTTGGAAAGGTCTTTGGAGATGTTGGTTGTATGAGAGAAGTGTAAGAAGTAGAGTACAGAAATGTTGGACACTTGAAATCAACGACTCTCATTCAATAAGCAAGGAACTCTCACACAGCCTTAGGATATCATCAAATAGACCCTAGAGAATGCCCTCATACTAAAATATTTCCAACTTTACTTATTTTACTTTGTCATTTTTGTCATCAATGTTGTTGTTGTAAATTATATATATATCACCATTCTAGGCCAAAAACTAATGTTCTAATATAAAAAAAAAGAAATATTGTTTGATAGCCTGAAACTAGAGATTATCATGTACATTATAGTTGAGTATTAAATCATTTGATGCCCAATTGGATCTGTTGTTTAAATTTCGATTTTACAGGATAGATTTTAACAGGTGTTCCATAACTAGTAAGTGTCCCAACACCAGGTCAAATACGTCATAGGGTGGTTACAGTTAGGGAGTATCAAACATATCTATTTTTGGAGATACTATGGTACTTTTTTTATGATGGCATGTCAAATATGACCTTAATCCACTCTTCTCTCTTTCTCTCCTCTACTTCCTACTCCACTATCAACATTAAATCAACCACTATTTTTATATTATTATTTCTTTTCAAACTAAGTAATAAAAACAATATACAATCAGTAAGTGCTCTCTTCCCCCTATTTCTAATACAAAAGTATAAGACTGAGCTTTCAGAAATGAATTGACTGACTAATACAAGTTTGTAATTATAGGTTACATAAGAGTAAGGACTTGGATGGAGTCTACTAAAACTAAGATTGGTAGGCTATATACTATCTGTACCTTCCTAAAGTCAGTTGCAAGAACTTACCTAGAGTTAATTTAAGTCAAGAAAATAAGCTATTACCTTATAGATCTCCAAAAACAGCTTTAAGAGGTTTAAGAGACCATATCAAGGTTGGTCAAATAGGGAGTATATCTGGATCTTCAGAATTCAGTAATACTTTTGGCTTTGCATAAGTTGACAATCATGTAATACAGCCTGAAGGGTTTATCATATACTTTACGAATGGCTATAAGATGAATAGAATGCTGCACTTATTGATATACTAAGTATATGCAGGACCACTTACTGTACAATGCCAGTAGGTACAAGATCTAAAAATACCTTTTCTGTCAAAATCCTCTCTGGACAACTACTACTAGTTAGTTTTTTGAAGGATATATTCATGACTGGTTTAGCAGGAGTGTTATTATATTACCTATAACCTTACAGATACTGGTAATAAGATTTACTCTTTTGAATTTGATATCTTGGAGAAGAAATCATACTTAATTACTTTACTCCTAACAATCTTGATAAATTATAGGTACTATAAGCTATAAGCTGGCATGGGATTGCTGCCTCTAGTATGAGAAAATATTTCCTTCCAGTTAGCTGCAACTACCAGTTTATAGATGTAATCTATTTAGTGATATAATACTTATTTCTTTTTCAAATAACTATTACTGCAAAATATCTAATCAATCTTTACAGAATAACTGAGTTCCTTAGACCCTTGTCAGGTACAGTTAAGAATATACTTATTGTCTTTGTAGTTTCTGAAGCCTGTATTATCTATTACTCTAAACAGCTACAAGTACCTGAGGCATCAGAGATCAGATCTGGAAATGCAAAGATAGATATCAAGTAGTTTTTGGCTTATATATAACAATGCAGCATTGAAATTAGTAGCAATACATGAGCTATTCTCAATATGTTCACAGGAAGAGGATAAGATAGAAGGAGAGGGTGGAGCATGAACTGGTCAGAGACAGAAGAGACTGGGACAGGGGGAGATGTAAATGGGAAGAGCTAGAAGTATGATGGAAGGGACATAAATAGGAAGCAGGAGGGATGAAGGGACTGGTGGGAGGAAAGGGGAAGATGGGGAAGATGGGCGAGGAGAAGAGGAAGGTGGGTAAGGGGAAGAAAGGGAGGAAGGAGACCGAGCAGGAGGCCGAGGAGGTGGAGGAGCCGGTGGCCACCGGGAACAAAGAGGACCCCGAGGTGCGGGTTGGGGGTTGACCTCCCATATGTATCTCAGTGCTCGAATAACTGGTTATCCTTCGCTCAGGTCTCGGTATACCTCTATATCCCCAAATGCCCTTTCCACGCACTAACACAACGAGCTTCTAGGATTGAGATTTCATCTCTGCTAGTGGTACTGAACTGTACTGTACCTAATCACGAACTTTGGCCACACCATGCTTTTTTTTTTCTTTTTTTTTTCCTTCCGCATTTGTGCGTGTGGGCGTGATAATTATCACATCCGGTTTTGATACCATACAAATATGTACTGTACTACAGCATCTATGCCCGAATGCTAGAGTTATATTTCATTAGAGGAGGGGAATTCCGATCAAAGTGATGCTTTCGGGAGTGCCGGTACGATGTGCTCTCTTAGTTTTCTTTTCTTTCTATCTTTCTATCTTTCTTTCTTTGCCCACACCGCGAGGTACCAAATTCCGAGCGGAGAACCCCAAATTTTGAGGAACGTTAGTTAAGTTACCAGTTCCACTCGGAAATAGAGCATCTCGACCAGGACCAAACAGCCAATTGAGGAAACTCGCCACTCACCCACCAAAGAACCCCACACCGTGACTCAATAATGCTATGACAACCGGTCTGATATCATAACATGAAAGTTTCTCATGGTCTACCGAGAGCCACTCCTGCATACTCGTGTTTCTATTTTTTTTTTATAAGAATAATATCATACCTCGAACGCAGTTTCTTTCCCACAGCCCACTTTCCGTCTTTTTGCCATATAAGCTTTACTTATGATAGCCCTTTTGGTCAGGAACCCAATATGAACCCTACCATGGTCGAGAGGGGAAAGGGAATTGGGGAAGCTGGAATAATTACGGGCCACCTTTCTTTCCAAATCAATGACGAACGAGGAACCCGCGACGGAGTGGATGTGGGGAGTGTAATAATGTACGGTGCGGTGCCTAGTGCGGAATGGGTGGAGCGGGGGTCACGGGGGTTAAGTGGGCGCCGCAGTAGAATATAATACCTTGGGCGGAACGCAGCTCTACTAAATTATCTCTGCCGTAAAGTCCTTTGAGGAGCAAAAAGGCACAGTACGGTAGACTAGCGTACTTGCAAGGTCCCGCTTTTGATGATTGGATCGGCACGGTACTGTGGGAGATGTGCGCGGTATTCACGAGGATAATTCCGGGTGCAAGTACGGTAGGTATCCGGAGCACTGCAAGGTGGACTTGATAGGGGAAAGAATGATACAGGGGAACGGTGGAGTTTGCATACAAGGTTGTGTAGGACTGGGGTTCAGGAGGGTGGGGATAAACTCTCAAATTAGGAGGGAGTAGGTGGAGAAAAGGATACACAAGGGGTGGAAAGTGGAGTGAACGAGTGAGTGAACGGAGATATAGCAAAGGTACTGTACTCGCGTGGTAGCAAGAAGCAGGTGCGCCTATCGCTCAAGTAACACATGAAGAGTACACATGGACAGGGCGAAGAAAAACTGTTCTCAATAGATCCCACATGAGATCACCATAACGGTTTCTGGCCATATACGATGTGCCCTCTAGTAAATGTATTGACATCCGGATTGAGCAACTCCCTGCGCACCTTCGCGACCAGGTCCTCCACATCCTTCTTGTCCCATCCCAATACACGAATAAACATATCCAAAGTGATACCCTCCGCGCCATCAAGGAACTGCCGCAACATGCACATGCTCATTTCTCTTAACCTCACATCCCGTGGCTTCGCCCCAGTAGTACAAACCTTGAATTCCTCGCTCACAACGCCTTCAAAACCGACGGCTCGCATCATGGCCGGCATTCCTGGGCCAACGGTGATCCAGCTCCTGCCAGACAGGACCGCACCCTCTTCCCAGGTTTTTACCCATAGGGTAAGCGTGCTGCTGGGGGCGAGGGAGCCATCTTCGCACTCGAAGGGCGAGGAGAAGTCGTGGAATTCAAGGTAGCCGCCGGGCTTCAGCGCCGTGAGTGACTGGGCGAGAAGGCGTGGCCAGTCGGTAACGAAGCCGGCCATTGACCGGATGTGTATGAGGTCAAAGGAGTTCTCGGGAAAGACCCAGTCCTCCTCGATGTCTTCCAGTTGCATATCGAGGTTGGGTGGCGCCCACGAGAGCTTGCTTGGCGCGATGTCAGTGCCGAAGACGTGTGCATCCGGATATCGCCTTTCGTAGGTTAGCAATTGATTCGGGTCATCCAGACTGCCTAGGATGGGAGATTCCATTCGTAAAGGGAAGAAGGGGGGGGGTGGCGGTGGTGAGGGGGTAATGTACTCGGCTACATCAATAGCCCATAAACCTGTCCCTGTCCCGACGTCAAGGATTTTGTTCAGAGGTCCAGTTATTGGGGCTTTGAACATTTTGCCCTCAAGTGCTAAGGTCCAGACCCGGTGAATGAGATCCAACCGAACCTCTTCCTCTTCATCGTGGGGGAAACTATAATCGACCTACAAGTCATCACGATAGGTTAGTATACCGTACCGGAACAGGCGCGCCCGGGCGAAGGATCTCTGACCTGTCTGCGGGAGAGGTATCTTCGACCATTGAGACTTCTGCTGCAGGTGTGCGTCTCACTGGATACGAGCGACGACGGATAGCTGTCAAAGCCGGAGGCGTAATCGGAATCATCGTCGAAAGTTTCCGAGTAGTTGTACCCAATCGCAGCGCCGTTTGAGGACGCTGAAGACGACGGAGCTGTCGTCGCTCGGATAGAGGCTCTATCCATGCCACCCACGGCCCCGACTATTTCCGGTATGCAACAAGTTGGTGCGATCCGTTTGCTCGCTCGTATGGCGGCAGTGTGGGTATTGGGAGCAAGTTGGTGGGTATGCGGAGGGGACGATTAAATCTTCTGAAAGGAATAATCCGAGTTGAAGGACTGCAAATTCGCGACGTACTACCGGTACTGGCAGTGCGGCACGGTAGTCTACAGTACTCGTATCGGCATGATCCTTTCCGGAGCGCAAGGGACACAGCCCCCAAATTATTAATGATGGTGATAAGGTTACAAGTACAGTACAGTACAGTACGAGTACTGTGCCTGTATCATATTTACTATTTCTCAACTTCCTCTTTCGTCTCTCTGGGATCTGGGTGTCCTGGTTGGCGGGCCTGTCCTGCGTAAATTCATTTTTTCTCTCTCTTGAACCTGGCTTTCTTCCCCCCTCGCACGAGGATGTTGCCTTCATCTGGTGATCACCGTTCCCTATCAGTCTTGAACCTCTTCTGGAGTATGATACCGTATTCTCCCCTTTTCTTCATACCCGCGGCCCGTTGCAATTGCCCCGTGAGATTCCTCATGGTGTGGCAATTTCCCCATTTAGTGGCATTTTTGACTTCTTGCGGGTTGTTTTGGGCGATCCTGCGGTTGCATGGTTCCGAAAAATACAAGTACTCGGGTACTCGAGTACTCGAGTACACTTTTGAAGCGCGGACTCCCGCTGGGGCACTCGGCACAAACAAAAGGTCTCGACAAGAGGTCGACCCTACGAGTACTCGAGTATCAGTATTCGACCATAAGTTGGTAACCAGTTCCAGATATTGATTACCTTATCATCGGAGGGTCGATCGATTAGAGGATAACTCCACCGCCTAGTTTCTCAAAAATGTTGTATTCCAGTGGAGCACTACCGTAGTAGATTGAGGGTTTGATTTGTATAGGACGGGATGCACGTAATTTTGAACTCGTCAAGGCTAGCTCGAAATCCACAAACGCCCAGCCGATATAGGGCAGTAGTAAGTCCTATTTAGACCGAGTCTCAAACTCAATTTGGATCAGTGAATTGCTGAATTTTCGAATTTTTGCCTCGCCTAGAGGTCGCACACCAGCATTATACCCTACGGTATTTTCCAGGGCTATCATCATCTCCCGTATCGTGCTCTTAAAATCCCCCGTCTTTTCTCCCCACAGCCCTGTAGGCTCTCGGTACTGTAACATGCGTTTTATACGGGTATTCTGTTCTGGGTTGGCCCGATCCCTGTTTTATCCTTAACATCGCTGATTTGAAAGCCGGTCGCGGGTGTCGTCCGCCGAAGCCTTTCCTCTTGATCTACAGACTTTGGCTTCCTGGAGCTGGAGGCCTCCCCTGCGCTACACTAGATCCACTTCACATCACCTATAACTACCGCTTACTTAGTAAATCACCCTAAGAGAAGGTTGCACTTTGCAAATTATAGCTACGTACAGTTATGAGTGAATCGGAATGTCGTGAATAACTCCACGGGGCCTTATCGTTTCCCACTCGAACTCCTATCGATTCCAGCTTAGGATGCGGGCACCTTCCTCCTCCTCCCCCCTCCCCTAGGATAACGCCGAGAAACTAGCCTTGGTTCTGCCGGGGTAGTGCACGCGTCGGTGCTGTAAGGGGTCGAGTAGTTAAAGTTTGGCGGTGGGAACTAACTTTGGTGAAATGGTGGGTATGGCTGATAATAGGATTGGGAAGAAATTTTGGTTTGTGAAAATCTGGGGCACTGTACTGTACAGTAAATCCAATTTACAGCGCTGTATCTCCTTGATATTTGAGGGGCTCGGTTTGATGTTAGTTTGGCGCACTGGGTAGTCTACCGGTCGCCACAGAACGATCAACTCCGGGGACGAAAGAAAGAAAAACTTGCAAAGTGCCTCTTTTATCGGTTCGCAGTTTTCGATAGTTTTGGCCGTTTCACCTATTTCGGTACTCCTTGAAAGGACCAAAACTATAAAAACGCCTGGGGTTTAGCTCATCTAGTATCACTCGTTGCAGCGCTGCTACACGCAATCTCCTACCACCACCTCTCAGGGGTCATTGACTCCTTCTTCGCCTCTCTCCCCTAAGGGGAAAAGACAGCCGGCGTGAGGGGTGCCACCAAGGATATACAGAATGCGATCACTTGTTCTCTAGAAAATGACACGTCGTTGGATAGGATTTGAGTTGTAAATTAACGGGCGGTGAATAGAAAAGAGGTGGCTGAGGATAAGGGGGAGGAGGGGGTATTGTGCCTGATTTTCCTTGAATCCAGCACTAACGCTCGCAGGAGTCATATGTGCACCAGTCTGGGCGTGCTATTATGGGTATTCAAAGCTAAAAAGAAAGAATTTTCAGTAAAGGTAAAGGTAAAGGGGCGATCCTGCATTAGGGTACTTTATTCCATCAGGCAATAGCGTTGACAGACTTCAGGTTGCATATTTGAGAGCTCGTTCAGCAGATGTTTGTGAATAGTTGTAAAGATTAGCGTAAATTGACATGTAGGAGAGGCCCGGTGAACACTAGACTGAAAAGATCCTCAGGCTGGCTGATAACAAATTTTTTTAGTCTGTCCATGGAGCCCCTCTGTTCAATAACCCCTCACCTGCGTTGGTTTACTCATAATAGTTTACTTCTCTTACTTGCCTTTGTTGTGGACCTTTTACCCTCCATCCCAACATGAAATTTTTGCATAGTACCGGTATGGCAAGGTAAAGTGATAGCGGCAGTGTATTAACTGTTCCTGTATCCGCCAAGCTTAAATGAAACAGCAAAGTAAGCTAAGTTCTTGCCACCCCTTCAACTTTGAATACCCCTACTCCCAAGTCGACTGGTTCACAGATGTACCAACTCAGCCCACGTTGCTTTGCTAGTTGGCTAATAGTTTAGCTTTGACAACATTCAAGTACTCGCTATACCTAGGGGAATGAGGTGATGCCCGTGGTGAACCGGGCTCCACGTGAGGAGGAGACATGACCTCACGAAGGAAAAACGGTATAACTAGAATAACACCTTTGGGTCAACAAGCATATCCTCAGTACAGCAAGGGAAAAATTGTACCCTTGCGTACTCAGTGAAAACGAGCCTGAAGGATCTGCATACCACTAGTATGAGCAATGGAAGATTGTCTGATTCATGGGTCGCGGATAATTGTGTCCGGGGAACTAAGTTAGCTATTATTCTCTTATATCTGCGAGGGATGTGCCACGATGAGTATCATCTACGGGGGATATGTGTTCAAGGGACGGGTTTATGAGTGCTGGTTATTGCCTGCTAACGCGCAATAAGCACAGAAAAACGGGCGACGTTTCCCACTCTACTCCGGGGGGGGATCTGTGTGCTCAGGATCGGCAGCTCGAGACCGGCACACGCACACCTGTACACTGAGCGATGTAAGTACCGAAATATCCCTCATTAACCACTACCTCGTCCGGGGAGCTATGCCCTCTTTCAAGCCGGTCGTTGCCAGTGCCCATACAACGGGGTATGTACTATACGAGTGATTGGCCAGGAACAGTATGACGAGTGATTTCCCGTGATATCAGATTACTCGTCCCCGTGGGGTGGCCGGGCCTAGCTAATGGTTTTAAGTATCATGTATCCGTCCCCTTTTGCTAATTGCACGATGATTTGTGGATGGAGTAATTAGAAAGGAATTATATCCTAACCGCCCCCCCCATGGCGCCTGCCCTGTAGCATCCTCTCGAATAATAAAATACCCAGACTACCTCCGACCAGCGCTCGTAGTCCTCTACAACTATTCAACTAATATTATACTATCTGCTAGCAGCAGATATTCAAGCCCAGGTTCCTTTTTACGCTTCAGAGGAAATATAGTGAGTTCTTAGGAACTAGTTGTAGAGGGGTAGTTTGGAGCTGAATAGCTCTATCCAGGCATCCTCGCATCGTACCAGAGAACTTGTACTATGCATCATCCAGCATTTTCAATTATTCATTTCCAAAAAAAAGGGGGGGGGGAAACAAAATACCCTCCCTCCTCCCCCTTTATTTTCCAACCCTCTCCCGCTATCCCGACGACTGTGCTCCTAACGCCTACTTATACTGTACGTCCGGCGAGACCATACAACCTCTAGCAAGACCACCTCACTCTATCGTATCATAATTTATACCCCCCAAGCCCACAAGGCAAGATTCGCCCCGCTTCCCGCACTATTCTACCCTACCCAAGGGTCGATAAACATTCACGATAACCACTCGTCTAGGGGATAACTCCAATCCTCAGTTCGTGCCATAATCTCGTTGTATGATGTGTATCTCCAGAGCGCACCTTCGTATAGGTATGGTAAAGCGGTATCATGTCATACAAAATTTCAATCGGCCCCATTGGTTTCGAACCTTCACGGTTGTGGATATCGGCGCTGAGATGGGAGGATGTTGACATGTTGGGTTTCGGATGAGTATGTGCCTTGTCACCCGCTTTTTCACTGGAGGATAGATTTACGTCAATCGGTAGGGTTTTGAGCGTTCCGAAACCCCCGATTTTGGTGCGTTTTGCACCTTGCTGCAACGGAATCCTTCCCCCAGCGTCGTACTATAACTCATACTATTGGTTTGAATAAATTGAATTCGAGTGACCTGTCGTGATGGCACGCCATGTTGTGAAATAACAGTGGGTGGCTGATGGATTGCTAATATCAGCGGGCTGAGGGGATATTTATTTACTCGGGTTAGATATAATGGTGCCGAGAGACTAGGCATTCTAGCTAGCTAGCTAGAAAAGGAAACTTTCGACTTAGTCAAACGGAATCCTCGGAACCTTTCTCAAGCTGGCCTGCTCCCCAGCTCTCCTAGCACCAATCGCTGCAGGCACCTTAATCCCGCAACATTCTCCCCAGGTACTATGCACATGGGTCATCCCCTCCCTATCGACCAACTCCCTCGCCCCTTCTCCCTCCTCCTCCTCCTCCTCCCCATCATCCTCCCCCATCCCCTCAGCAGCACTCACCAACCCGCCAAACAAGAAATGCTGCATAATGGGCAACTTCCCCAGCACCTCCTTCTCATACATGGTTATCATCCCACTGTTGATCTTGGCCCAATTCCTCGCGTTGGAAATGTCGTCCAGCATGGGACTATGCCAGCGTAAACCGGCGGTGACTTTTATGCTGTTGATGAAGGAGATACATGAGAGGTAGATGTAATCTTTGGAGAATTGCTCAAGGATCTCATCGTCATGGATGCATTTTGGGCGGAGGTATGGGTGCGAGTAAAGCTGACTGCTGCCGAATAGGAAGGGGAGGAATTGATAGTCATCCAGGCCCCAAACCCCGTGGCTGCCGGCTGGCTCGAGGTAGTATGTTGTCTGGATCTTACGCATGAGGGTTAGGTAGCGAGTGAAGAGGTGGAGAACTAAGGGGGCGTAGGTGGGGGGTTCTAGGAGAGCGAGTTGGTGGAGGCAAAGTCTGGTGATAGTTAGCTTCTCTAGGAGGGGGGCAGGGAGGGGGGGGGGGGGCAGACAAGTAAACCAGGTAGTTAAGCTCATGCCCCGATCCGTAATCAATCCTAGTCCTGTTTCCAAAAGCTTCGGTAAAATAAGCTCTGATCTCCTTCATTGCCCCCTTTTTTACAGCCTCTCCTTCCAGTCCTTCCAAAATCCCCTCATGCAAGTCCTCAAACCTCTTCCCAACTTCATCGTAGAACCCCCGAAATGCGGCGTTCCCGAACCGGCTCCCGCCAGCATCTTCTGCCGGATGGTGGTCGACGATGGCATCTACCGCATCGAGGACACTCAGCAGTTTATCGACGACGGCTGGCCGAGGGGCTGGATGAGAGAGTGGGAGGTTGAGAACGCTGTTGTTGAGGTCCCCTATGAAGGATGTTATGAGGATGTGAGTTTGTGAGGATTGGAAGAGAGCAAGATCAGCTGGTGTGAGGATTCTTCGGACGGGCTGTTGGAAGGATATACTGGAAAGTTGTGGCGGTGAGGGGCAGAGGAGGGGTGGAGGTACGGTAGGTGCAGTAGGGGGTTTGTTTAACGAAGAAGGCATTTTTCGGTGTATTTCCCGGTCCCGTTATCTCCTCTTGGGGGTTCTCTTGTTGGTGATTGAAACTTGCTTGCTAGCAGCGGTGGTGGTGGATGAAGATTGGTTGCGGCCGTGGAGAAATGTATTTCCGATGTAGTGTGACCCGGGCCGCCGGGGTAAAGAGGATTGGCTCGGGGCGGAAGGAGCCGTCGGTGGGCTTGCGGGTAGGTGAGGCTCTGCTCGTGGCATGCCCATCTCTGCCGCTTCAAGCTTCGGCGTCTGTCGTCCAACCAGACATACGGCAGGGGGTACGCTTGTGCATTTCACATTCCATACTCGAGTACCATAGAGGTAAAGTTAAACGCCATCACGATCTCCATCCCACGCAGGAATGCCGGTCACTTGAAATTTCTAATACTGCGCTCTATTTCAGCCCTCCGATCTCAAAAGAAACACCTCAGGTTGTTCCCAAACAGTACCATATCACCAGTCAGATTCAAAAAGTAAAGGCAGTAGATGGCTGCAACCAATGGATTCACCCAAGTTACCCTCTCGTGCATGCTTGGAAGGCTTCCCCCTAATCCCTGCGATCAAGCTGCTGCATCTCGTTATCTCCAACTCACATGGTGGGGAAGTGTCGCGTGCCATCCATCTCCTCCTACTCGTGGGTCTTTGGTGATGATGTTTTCCCCTTCAAATCACGCCAGATAATATATCATTTCTCCTTCCCGTCCGCCAGTTCGTTTCGATTCGTGTCAAAACGGGGGAAGCTCTCGTTTGACACGTCAACAGCCGGGGCAGTTACCAGCACCGGTACCAGATGTTTGACTCCCGGAATTCTTGGGCACGTGCCACTCTCATGAAGAAAAAAAGGTGACGCAAGCCTGTTTGCTTTGTTGGATGGAAAGAGTTTTCTCTCGGCTCCCGTGGGGGGCGAAGGGAGGGGGAGGCACAACTCGCGGAGGGGAGGGAGGGGCAAGAACGAACCGGATATCCCAAGTATCCTGTCAACGCCTACAATAACCCCCACAGCAGGAAGGCGGCCGGCCCGCGTCCCCCTGGACTACCGGCACCGTAGTCTTCGCCTGTTTGCCGCCGCTACGCCTGGGTTATTTGGTTAGTTTCGGTACCGCACATGCACTATCTTTTCCCCTGTCCGGCCCGGTGTTCCGGTGCTGGCACTCTGCCCCGACGCATGCTCCCCTCGAAAATCCCCCCGTTTCCCTGTACAGTACAATAGTATCCTGATACCCCTCTCTGTGTGCCTCCCGCCCCTCCGAACATATAGCTTCTCCCCCCTTCCCTCCTCTCCTATCCCCCTCTCGACTCCGTCCTA